TTGGTTCCAAGCCTACACAACTGCTAATTTCACCATGATAATTCTTCCATATAACTTAAATTAGGTTTTTGAGTTGAAATGCATAAACATCCCTGTTGTTATCAACATCAAATTGTTATCTGCGTTAGTCTTTTTGGATTATATGCTGTGAATCTTTATTTAAAAACCTGAAAGTCCACAGAAAAGGAATTTTTAGGCCTAATGGTATGCAAAAGTTATTCTGGGCTAACAGAATATAAAGTTCTTATTTTAAGAACACATTCTCACTTGAAATAAAAGCAATTTTAAAATAAAGATTTAGTTGCCCACTTAGAAAAGGAAAAAACAATCCCCCTAAGTCTAATACCAAAAATTCCAAACTGTTATTATAAATAAATATTTTGAGAGAATTGAATTGCTTTGTTGGGAAGGAGAGGTGGGTGTCAGGTGATCGATTTTCGTTTTTACCACGGCAGAGTGGTCGTTTCTGAGTAGCTGGAAGATACTCAGAAAAATTACATGAAAAAAGTCCCCTGTCAGTCTTTTAGGATATATTTGGTTCAGTGTCGTCAGAAGGTAGCCTGCCCTCTCCCTGGAATCAAGTTGCAAACACTATCCTCAATAGTAATTAGAGCTAAGCGGCGATTACAGCACCTATGATTTGTTCAGACGCACTGCCTGTGGCTGTTTCCTAGCACCACGTTTCACAGGAGCACCAGGTTGAAATGATGGAACTATTTCTCTCTCAGTGTAACACCTCGTCCGGTGTTCGAATGCAGCAGTGAATGTGGACTGTAATCTTGAAAACGAAGGTAAGCATTGCTGGCTGATTAGCGTTTACACCTCAGGGAACTTTTTCATGAAGTATGTAACAAAAATGTAAAACAGTTCAAATCAATTTCAGAAAAGAGAAAAGTATCAGAATTAGAGCAAATAGAATTTGCTAATTTCATGACTCCCTTGTCCAATGTCATCTTGGTTTTCCTAACTTATTTTTATTTGAATTGTGATATTGAGTCACTTTGCTAAATATAATGAAGATGTGACTGATTTCTCACGTTCCCTTTATCTTTATGAACTACAATTCCTTTTTCTTTCAAAGTTTGTCTCAGAATAACTACTAGTTGGAAATTCATATTTAATCCAAGTATGTTAGAACCCTCACTCTCTTTCCTCTTCAGGAAGTATATTTAAGTCGATGATCGTACATGTTCAAGAATTCACATTCAGGCTGACAGAATAGTGGTTGGTAGCCTGTAATAAAATTGAGTGACGTGGTGGGTGATTTGCACTCTTGTCACATGATTTTCATGATAGACATGTTTCAAATTTTTAACGTTCCATCTAGTTCAAGTCAAAATTCAATGGCTTCATGTTTATTTAGACCCTTGGGCATAGAAATCTGCCTGGAAACCAGGTAAGTTTAGCTCCTCAAGGGGGAGTATTGTTTGTTATGAGGATAGATACATTTTGTATGTATACAATAGATATTTGTGAAATTCTCATTTCTGTTTTAATATTATCACTTTAATTCTCCCCACTTAAGATTCTTTTTTCTTTCAATTTTGCCATTTTTAAACGTTGAATAAATATTACTATTAGAAAAGAGCTTAGAAACTCTTGGCACTAGGAAGATGTTTTTATCTCATAGTCCCCAGTGGGATTTCAGGTGGTTTGGAAAATATTGAAAGAGTATCGACTTGTTTTATTCTACCTCATTGGTGCATTAGAGATGTAAACACTGAAGGTTCAGTAGACTCTTGCAAAAATGAATAAATTAAAGCCAAAGTGCATTAATTTTTCCAAGGTCCTAGAGACTCTGTGATGTGGGACCTCCTAGCAGATACTGTTGTTCAGTGTAGTTATCACAATTAGGCTAGTACCTGATTTTGGAAGACATGTTTTTTCTAGCCATGGGTCCATCCTTGGCTTCCTTTCATATATTTGCTTTGTCATGGAATTATTTATCCCTGAGCATCATTTACTTCATCAGAAAAATGTGGGATGATTGTAAGCCATGTAACAGTTTATGTCTACTTAATATATGTAAAAGCACCTTATACTCCCCAATAAAAAGTTGCAGTATTTGTATAACCCAGGACCCTGATGATGAATGTCTACAAAAATATACCATTAAATTCTATGGTGGATTTAAGTTCTTGTCCCACTATGTCATGCGTCATGGGAGATATATCATGTGAGCACGCATAAAAACAATCCTCACTTATTGCCACTGACATGACTACTTGAGACATAACCGGAGATATGGCCTTAATTTGTTTTATCTTGCCATAGGGATAAACTTGTCCTGACATCTATTAATCTTTTGATTTATAGAAGGAAGATTGAATACAAAATTAATACAATATAGCTGCAAAACAAGGCAAATGACTAATTTTATGAGTGCTTTCTAGTTCTCCAGCAATATTATAGTGTGAAAGAGAGACAGAGACTGCGAGATGAGAGAGAGAGATAGACAGGCACATACACATACAGAGATAGAGACAGAGACAGAGAGATCCCAGAGACATGAGACAGATAAGAGAGTTGAGAAGCAGCAAAGACAACAGGTGAGAGGGAGGGAGACTAGGGAGACAGAGAAGGACAAGGGTGGGAAGTGAGGTTAGAGAAAAAAAGACAGACACAAGTCAATCAAAGTATGGAAAGAATGATTGTGCAATTTTGGAACTTTGAATTCTTTTTGCATTTTCTTTCACAGGAAACATACTTTGTCAAACTAAATACATTGAGCCCCAGGTCCGTTTTTATGAATTGTTTACTTTCCGTTCGTGTCCTTTAAAGCAAAGGGAGCTTGAAAGACTATTTGAAGTTCAGGAGACACCAAGAGTCAAAACCAACGTTCTTCTAAAAGAAAATATTTCCATTCCTTTGTTTCCTTATAAAGCAAATCATTGAAAAGGAAAATGATGAATGTTATGATTAAATTCTCTACTTTCCATGTGGCTCCTTGTTAAAAAACCATTATGTCTTTGACTTTTGGTGTTCATTGGGAGAGTGAGAAGGAGTTATTTGGGAAGCCAAAAAGAAATTCCACAGAAGAAAAACTGGTACAAAGTTAGTATAATAGTACAAGAATAAACACGATACACAGGGACATAGGGACAGGGGCAGTCATTTAAGATAAATCACTTCCAGTGGAGAGAATCCTCGGGCATTCACTGGAGGGCCTTATCTGATGCTGTTTTGCATATCACTAGTGCCCCAGAAGCTACCTGCATGACTAAAGCAAGTAGCATCAATTTCTAGGATGTCAGGACAATGGCAGACTTCCAAGAAGCCAGGCCAGGGACTGGCCATTCTGTTCAGTATTGACTAAAGACCTTTTAGAGTACAAGCATCCCCTGGGTCACAGGACACTCGGTGTTTCTCAGGATAAGGGTGATATCACATTGTCTCCCAGTTGCCCAGCCTCTTTGTTTGAGGGAGTTACATGCCCTGCTTAACTAAGTTCTTCCTGCTCATATAGTTTGCTCTGCTCTACTTCATTCTATACAGATTTCTGCCATACAGTCAAAAGATAAAAGGGAAGGAAATTATTTTAGGAGTGAAATGTCAGGAAATTCCAAATAAGGAATTGGTGCATTAGTCCACCCTGCAAAATTAAGCTCAACTCCCCACTCGTCCTTCCCTCTCCAGATCCCCCTCACCCTTTTCCCCGTCCTAACCCCACTCTCTCCCCATTACTCACATTCTCTGCTCACCCCATCCCTGGCATGGCCAGATTACTCAGCTCGTACCAGGTTTCCACAGGGCTGGAATGGTGGCTTTCGTGTTGCTCACACAGCAGCCCTGACTGCCAGTTGGGAGCCACCTCTACTGCTCCTGGGTGAAAACTGTTTCTTGGCTGATGGAGAACCAAGAGTGGCTTCTTCTATGGTGATCACCATGATTATAATACTCCACTAGAATTTTTTCTGAGTACTCTATAATGTATTAAAATTGTGGGATATGTGTGCAAAAAGGAAAAAGGGTTACAGCACAGTTTTTACTGTTTCTATTTATTCCCAAGTTGTGCTTTTTAGAAGCCTATTACTTTTTTTTTTTTTTTTAACCTGGACAGCAGCTTTTGAATAGCTTTGAAATGTTCGGTTAATATTTAAGCTAAGGAAATCTCTTTTCTCTACCAAGGTGGGAGTACAGAGCACTGGCAAAGCAAATATGAACTCTCTTTCTTTAAATTGAGCAAGCTTCTGGAGGAAAAATATCTTTTTAAAAAGACCATTAAGTAAACCACTATTCCTTTTTCTTTCTTTTTTTTCCTTTTGGTTCTTCAATGCAAATAACCTAAACACTGAATACAAGAGCTGAAATTTTCTGACACCAGGGGGCAAAACATTTTGTGTCCTGGAGCTAGAATTTATAGCAGCAGCTGGGTGCATTGACCTCCTGAGTTGCTGTATGTGGCCCCTTCAGCCTGGCCCTTTGTGTGAGCTGCAGAGGAGAGGCCTAAAGACATAGCCGGAGGCCTCAATGGCCCTGCTGCTTTGATCTGCTCCAACGGAAAGTCAGTTGCCATTGCTTGGAAAAACGTGTCTTTTCAGATAGCATTTTTATTGCAGTTCTGATAGTACTTCAGTATAAAAACCACCAACAGAAATGTGAGTGCACCTCCTACTATGAGCCTATTTGAATTAGTTATATCCATCCAAACAGTACGGCTAAAAGCGTAGTTTTAATAGGGTTTGTTCTCTTTTTTTTCCCGTTGAGAATATTAAAAGAATTATTTAAAATGAAGTGTTGCAATCAATCTTCTGCATTCTTTAAAATGGAAAGAAATGTTGGCTCTTGGCCACACAGGCTTTTCTCTTTCATTTAATTTTTCTTCCATTATTCACATTAATAAAACTTTAAAATTAAAAAATCACTTAAAAATGAATACTGCTAAATTTCAGTCAAAATATAAAAAGAAAACAGACCAAATACTAACCTATTTAAATTTTTAAAGAAGATAACAACCACTGGACCCAGCCCTGTGGCCGAGTTTTTAAAAGTTTTGTGCACTCCGCTTTGGCGGCCCAGGTTCACAGGTTCATATCCGGGGTGCAGACCCACTCTGCTCACCAGCCATGCTGTGGCAGTGTCCTACCTACAAAATAGAGGAAGATTGGTGGTGGATGTTAGCTCAGGGCGAATCTTCCTCAGCAAAAAAAAAGAAGATAACAACCACAATATATGAGTCTTGCACATCTTTGATTGTACGTACTTAAATATTCGAAACAGTGTCCCTGGGCAAGAAGCTCTGGGTTTGATCCCACCATCAGTCAGGTAGCATGCTGGATTAAGTTCTCCTAATCCCATTTTTCTCACATAAAATAAAGGATAGATTCCTAAATTATGTTTACCTCTAAAATTTTATGAAATATAATTCCTCTAGAAATATTCAGTGGCTTGAGAAACATAGTTGTGCCCTTTCCTAGAAAAGTGTGTATTTTTAAGAAGGTTTCTAAAATAAGTCATAGTTCTAATGCTGCGCTTAGGTCCTACGTCCCTAGCATGCTGTAAGGGGAGAGCAAATAGTTCCCCCATTTGTAACAGAAAGAGGCTTCAGTCCTCATGAAAGCATCCTGATGCCACAGACAAGAGTCACTGGGCAAATGTAGCTCAGGACCAGACCCCAGGGTCTTTTTGCCAGAAAATTTCATCAGGCTGCTGTGACCTCCCAATCCATTCTCGACCTCAGACAATTTTAGTAAAGCCCTGTCTGGAGATAATTTTGGCTTCTCTAAAGACTTAGTAATTTAGGAACTAAGCATATGACATTCCCTTTTGATAAGTCAGGTGTATTAAAAACTATTCCAAAAAACCTGACAAAGCATTTGTCAGAACCCTGTTTTCCCTTCTTTGAGTTTCCGTTTTCACATGGTCATGCTTAACACTATCAGATTACAAGACGAAAAACTGTAACAAAGCAAAAATGTTTTAAATTCAGATTAAAAGAAGACAGTTAGTCCTCAAAGCATTTTTTTTTTTTGAGAACCAATAGTCTTCTTTACTTAAATTCTGAAATTCTCAGATTTTTCAATGCTGCTTTAAAAACAGTTGCAGCTAATGAAGTATGTCACATGTTGAACCAAACTATATTTTGTACTATATAGTAAATAAATTGTACCTGTTTTTTTCAACATTTAAATATAAGAAACTTAGTGCCTGGGCAAGATATTCAGATATAAATGAATCACCACTTTGCTGTCTGGATTCTATTGCCACACATCTAAAAAGCATTGCATCTTAGTGCAAGATTCATCGTTTTCTGGCATATTACTACTAAACTCAAAGGACATTGTGGCTTAAAACCTACCGTGATGTGGCTTCACTGCTGTTTTCTGATGCAGCTCTTCATTATTGCTTATAAACTTCAGTGTGGTACTCAGAAGGATTTATTTTTAAATGTAACATTCTGCCAGGATGCTGCTGTTGGAGCTCTTTGGGGGGAACCCTAAGTGCCCCAAGGGAGATTCAGCACAGACCTGCCAACTGTTAAGATTTTCTAGGCTCAGCGTTCCAGATACACGTTTTTCTCATTGGCATCACCAGATTCTATGTCAGTCTCTTCTACCCACTTCCAAAGTTCAGCAAGGAAGCATTAGCATTAAAGGAAGCTTGTATTTTCTCACAAATCATTTTGAGCAAAATCAAGCTGAGAGTGGGGAAAAAAACTCAAAAAACATCATATTCATCCTAAAAATACACAAACTTGACAGTATTTGAAGATGTCCTTCTTATGAGAACTTTGCCTATGTTCGTTAACATAGTTTACTAAAATTAATAGCATTGAACACATTACTTTTTAAAAATTTCTATTAAAATATAACATACAGAATAGTGCAAAGTGTACAGTTGAATGAATGTACACAAACGTAACATACCTGTGTAACTGACACTCAGATCAAGTAAAAGAACACTTCCAGCACCCTAGAAGCCTTTCTCATGCTCCCCTCCAGTCACTCCACTCCACCCCATCCCACCCTTCCTACAAGGATAGCCACAATCCTAACTAACAGCACAGAGTAGTTTCGCCTAATTTTGTACTTTATATAAATGGTATCATACAGTATGTCGATATGCTCCTTTATTTTAGTTCTTTTTCTCAACATTATGTTTGCAAGGTCTATTTGTTGTTACATGTAATTATGTATCATTTATTATTATTGCTATATTCCATTATGTGAATGTTTTATTGTATGAAGATACCAAAATTATTTATTCTTTCTATTGTTGATGGGTTAATTGGCTAATTTCCAATTTGGGGCTATTATAAATAGTATTGCAATGAACATTCTAGTGCATATCATTTGTATTAGGTATATACTTAGAAGTGGAATGAGTCATAGGGTATGTATATATTCAGTTTTAGTAGATATTGCTAAATAGTTTTTCAAAGTAGTTGTAACAATTTACACTTCAGATAAGAATTCTAGTTGCTCTATATCCTTGTCAACACTTGATAATCTTCATCTTTCTTCATTGTAGCCATTCTGGTGGGTGTGAAGTGATAGCCCATTGTAGTTTTAATTTGCATATCCCTAATGTCTAGTGAAGTCAAGCACTTCTTCATATGTTTACAGGCCATTTTAGTATCTACTTTTGTGAAGTGTTCATTAAAGGTTTTTGCCCAATTTTTCTATTGTGTTATCTTTTTCTTATTGATCTGTAGGGGTTGTGTATTCTAGATTCAACTCATTTCTCTCTCTCTCTATATATATATATAATGAATATCATCTCCCACTCTATGGATGGCCTTTTCATTCCCTTGATAGTGTCTTATTCTTACATTCTTATTCTTAATAGAATATATTTATCAATTTTTTAATTTTATCATTAGCACTTTTGTTTCCTGTTTAAGAAATTTTTGCCAGCCCGGTGGCACAAGCGGTTAAGTGCGCACGCTCTGCTGCGGCAGCCCAGGGTTCGCCGGGTCGGATCCCGGGTGCGCACCGACGCACCGCTTATCCGGCCATGCTGAGGCCGCGTCCCACATACAGCAACTAGAAGGATGTGCAACTATGACATACAACTATCTACTGGGGCTTTGGGGGAAAAAAAAAGAAAAAAAAAAAAAGAAATTTTTGCATACTGCAAGGTCACAAAGATGATCTGCTTTTCTCTTTATTGTTTTACCTTCTAACCCCAAAACATTACAAATACCTTGGGTGCGTAAAAAGTTTTGAATTTTGGGGCCTGGTCTGATGGCATAGCAGTTAAGTTCACGCACTCCACTTCGGAGGCCCAGGGTTTGCATGTTCGGTTCCAGAGCGGGGAGACCACTTGTCAAGCTATGCTGTGGCAGAATCCCATATGAAGTAGAAGAAGATGGGCACGGATGTTAGCCCAGGGCCAATCTTCCTCAGCAAAAAGAGGAGGATTGGCAACAGAAGTTAGCTCAGGGCTAATCTTCTTCACACACACAAAAAAAGTTTTGAATTTTAATACATTCCATTTTCCTATGCTGTTTGCTTATGCAGTTCCCTCCACCATTCTCCCATACCCACCTCTCAAAATACTAACCATTGCTTAAGGCTTAAGAGATAGCTCATATGGAAATATTTATGAACCCAACTCTTAACCATATGTAACCATATGTAACCCCTAAACATTTTGTTGATAATATATGGCCCCTGGCATAGCCTGCCTATTATAAGCATTACTGGATTTAACTATCTATGCTCTCCTGGGATATGGCATAGTGTAAGAAGAGTCAAAATAGTTCATAACTACAGTAACTGAAGCTTCTTGAACACTTGCTCTGTGTCAGGCACAGGCTTGAGCACTTTGCATAGAAAAATCTCCATTAGTTCTCCAACCAGTCCTGTGATGTAGATACTCTTATTTTGCCCAATTTATAGAAAACAAAATAGAGATTTGAAGAAGTAAAATCAACCTTGTTCAAGGTTACACAACAAGAAAGTGGTGGACCCAGAATTTATCAGCTTTCTCCTGAATTGATGTTTTTAACGTGTGTAGAACATGTTGTCTGAAGGACATGCCATAGCATCATGGTGGTCCCAGAAGCTCTGTGAAGACAAAAAAGGTGATTCATGCTCAAGAAATTGAGGGTAGAAATTATATCTGCCTAGACATTCGCGGTACCTGTTAGTATATTAAAAGCTCCACAATGTCTTGCAGAAAAGAACCATTTTAAACTTTATTGAAGCCAGCATTTTCTATATGTATTTGATGACAGAATCTTTTTCATGTAACAACTTTACATGTAACCTATTTTATGGAATGGTAACACAGGCTTTAGAGTCAGATGAATAGGAGTTTGGACCCAGGCCCTACCACGTACTAAGTGATCTTAATCTCTCTAAGCATCATCTTTCTCATCTGTAAAATGTGGATAATAATACAAACCTCATAGAGTTTTATTATAATTTAATAAAATGAGGGACACAAATCACTTAGCACAGTGCCTGGCATAGAGGTGCCATTCTCAGTAAATGGTACTAGTAGTTGTTAATACTTTCTTATATTCTCTTAATAAGTAAAATAAATTCTGTCTGACTCACTTTGTAATCCCTGTAGTTGTCGGCACTGTGCCTTATACAGTTGGAGCCCCATAAGTGTTTATTGAATTAAATAATACTATTATTTGGGGAAGATTATTTGTAGATAAATATATTCTAGAAGCAGGTCTTATAGAGCATTAAAAAATCTTATATATTTTAGTTATTTTAGTATTAGATATTACACTAAGGTCAAATAAAAGTTTCAGCTAATTCCCAGCTGCAAAGGAGATCCAACATTTTAAATCTGTTAGTTTGATGTTAAAATGCTTCTATCTACAGCTGGAGAATGTGGCTTTGTAACTCAAGTGTTTTCAGGTGTGTAGTTTGGTGACCACAGCACAGTAGTAAAGAACAGAATTCAGGAGTCAAATTACCTGAGTTTGAATCCTGGCTCATCTATGTACGAGCTATATGAAGTTTGACTTAACCTCTTTGTGCCTCAGTTTCTCATCTGTAAATGGGGCTAGTAATAGTACCTTGTTTATTAGGTTATTGTCAATATATATGTATATATAGTCATTTAATATGTATATAAAATGAGTATATATGTATATATATACAAATATGTATATATATTTATATGTCTGTGTACATGCGTACACACATATGTAATGTGCTTAGGGTAGTGCCTGGCACATAGTATGCAGTATAAAAATCTTATCTCTGTTATTATTATTACGTGACCTTTTCAGAAGCAAAACCCTGTATCAGTCACAACCCCTATTCACATAGCCCCCTCTCATTGACCATGCTTGATGGTCTCTTGGTAAATTTGTTTTCCTCACATGGCAGACTGAGAAAAGAATGGAAATGATGAGAGAAAGGTGTCAACCTACAAGAACAAAAACCAGTTTAAGAGGCAAAGTGTTTATTTGGGATCAAAGAACCACAATTTGGGAAGCATAGATTCAGGTAGAAACCCAAATAGTGTTCCAATTACAAGAGAGGGGCTTAGGGTTTTTATGGGAAAAGGGAGGATGAGGTGAGTTCTATTAAAGAAGAGTTCATTGGTGCTAGATTTATACTTAATAGATTGGTCTGAGGTTCGATCATCTGGCAAAAGGCTAGACTTGTACTTCATTAATTGGTTAGCAATCAGGTCATCAGCAAAGTCCAATTTCATCAGTCCTTACAGATGGGATATTCTTGTCCTTACTGACTTCTTGGAGTGTTGGCAGTTTGGTCCAGTTTGGAAGATAAAGAAAACAAGACAGGGACCGGCCCGGTGGCGCAAGCGGTTAAGTGTGCACGCTTGGCTGCGGCGGCCCGGAGTTCGCCGGTTTGGATCCCAGCCGTGCCCCGATGCACCGCTTGGCAAACCATACTGTGTGGCGGCGTCCCATATAAAGTGGAGGAAGATGGGCACAGATGTTAGCCCAGGGCCAATCTTCCTCAGCAAAAAAAAGAGGAAGATTGGCAGATGTTAGCACAGGGCTGATCTTCCTCACACACACACACACACAAAAAGAAAACAAGACATGCAAGGCAATTCCTCTGGAATGGCAGCTCTGGCTCTATTTTAATATGGCTCCACTCATGTCATCTTTCACATTTTTCCCCTTTTGATCAAGATCTTTCTCTGAGAGCATCGCTGATCAGACACTGGGAAGCATTGCTGATCAGCTATCAAAGCACCATTGGTCCCTCATTGCCAGGAAGGTCATTCCTGGTATGTCATGTCCCACACAGGAGGGAAAGTGGTTTCCTTAGGAGCCTTTAGGCCACATTTGAGCAACAAGAGTGCCAGAGCAGAGGAAGGCTCTACTGTCAAGTTCTTTTGAGGGCAAGCATTTTCTGCAGTTCCTTGAAGTTTCATGTGAAGTTTCATAAGCCTTAGTAATCATTTCAAAGTGCTGTGTGACTATCATCCAAGTGGTGTTTTTATAACATCAAGCAATGTAAAGGAGATAAAGTTTTACAACAACGAGAATTCCTATAATAACAAACAAAATGCTAAGCCCAAATTGGAGAATAGATCAGAACCAGGCAATGCATGAGGGCAGCCAGCTAAAGAAATCAAAGAACCAGAGGGCATCAGTGGGCACTGCATTTAACCATTCAGCTTGTGCCCAAATTCTATCTAGTTCTGTCTCTACCTTGCCAGATGTGATTACCCAAGTAAAACAAGAGGTATTTATAACAGTTACAAATGTTACCTCTTAAATCTCTGGAAGTTTGATTGGTTAGTCAAAAAGTTCTAGACACTTAGCACAATGAATTAGAGGGGGAATGGAGGAGAGATTGGTAATTAAATGTACTAAAAGATTTTCTAGATTAATGTACATTATGAGGCTTCTGATGACAAACTTGACAGAAAGATTTCCCCCTTTTATAATAGACTGGGAGATGCAGATAAGAGTATTGTCTTCCCAAGAAAGAGAGGGAGAAAATGAGGTAAGAAGCAACAACAAGTAAATAGTATACAGGCCTGGTGCAGCCATCTTGGGAAAGCCGTCTGCCTCAGATGTCTGTTGCTTCTCTTCCTAGTCATTTTGATTTGGAAGCCTCCAGCATTTGTACTAGGCCAGATGTCAGGTGGAGCCTTCTTTAACTGTGAGATGTATCTCCAGTTAAATGCCTTCTAGTTCTGCAGCAGTGTCAGTGGTTAGGAACACTCGGTAAGGTCCTTTCCAATGGGAATCAAGGGCTGTCTTCTTCTGATGTCATTTCCAGAATACCCAGTCACCAGACTCTGGACTGCGACCAACAGAATCCTTTAAATTGGAATCCAGGGAAGCTTCTTTAACCTGTTGATGATAGGCTCAAGCATAAGACATGAGAGACTTACAGTAGCATAAGACAACAAGGGATCAGCAGAAGGTTGTATACCAACAGACACTGATCTGCCAGTGACCATCCCATGTGAAAGTCAGTTCATGTTTTCCAAAGAGGGCACTGCAAGCAGTCATCAAGATCAAAGGCAATGCCTTAGGCCAGGGGAGCCCAGTCCAAACCTCAAAGACAACAGGACTGGAATCCAGCATCTACCAAGTTGCAACATAATTTTTCCCTTCACAATTACCCTCATTTTTTTACCAAAGATAATCACAGTGAAACTAATTTGTTTATATTAAAAACTTGGGCTGATTATTTATGTAAGTGAAAATAAGAGTATTCACTGGGAGTTTCTGAATTCTGGAGAGATCAGGTAGGGAGAAAAAGTAAATATCTCATCTTTGTTCATAAAGGTATATCTTACCAGATTGTTGATAGCTTAAGAGAAAAGACTTCTTTAAATCTGGAAAAGTAAAACATTAGAGCATACTCCTTGATTCATGTAGTCCCATGTATTATTAATTGTTGATCTCGATCTTTTGTTAGCAGTTTTATGAAGCCATCAGTTTCTGCATTAGAGTTCTGTAATTTCTTACCTAGCTCAGTTTTATGATCTGAAAGTTTATCATAAAACTGATTTCTAGAGTGAGTGTCAGAGGCCTTGCCATGAATCTCTCTGAAGATGAAACATATCTGCAAAAGCATCAGAGTAAAACAATAACTGTCTGTAAATGGCAAAAGACTTAAAATGGCATGGTTAAAGATCTGATTACAATGCAATTGACAAAGAAATTTATTTATTTCTATAATACACATTTTAAGGTAATGACTAGAATTATACCAGGACATATCAGATTTTTTAAGAATTTTATATAATTTTTAGAACACATATTAATAACATATATGCATGCAAGGATATCCATAAGTAAGGCTTACCATCACTTATTTGACAACGCTTTCCATGCAGTTTAACATGCAAATAAACCTTATCAGTTTAATATTTCCCTTTTGATAAGGGAGATTAAATTCCTTGAGAAGTCCCAGGGGCCCAGTAAAACTTCTCAAACTTACTTTCAGGTCAAAAGAAAGACTTTATTTAGGATTTGGATTTTGGGAAGTTTGTCAAAAATGTCAAAAAGTTTGGACACTTGACTAAATTGGATCACAGATCACTGTGAAACAACGCTTAGTTATCCATTTAAACATGGCGACAATTAAAGATTTTCAGTCAAATACAGAAATTTATATAGTTGTAAGAAAAACTTTATCTCTTGTGATTAAAGACTTTTTGAAAGCAATACAGGAAATTTATTTTGATAAAACATAAAATCCCTGCCTTTTTTCATAGACTACTCAAAGGTAAAGAAAAAAATCTTCCATAATCTCTTTATCAAGAGCACACCAAAAGCCCAAGAAAACTATTCTTTTAAGACAGAGAGTAAACCAAGTTCTAATTTTGCACTAGCTTACTTTTGACATTAAAACTCATTTAGAGAAATGGAAAGATATTACATGCTCATAGATTGGAAGAATTACATAGCTAAAATGTCCATACTGCCTAAAGCAATCTACAGATTCAATGCAATCCCTATCAAAGTCAAAACAACATTTTTCACAGAAATAAAATAAAGAGTCCTAAAATTTATATGGAACAACAAAAGACTCCAAATAGCCAAAGGAATCCTGAGAAAAAAGAATCCCTGATTTCAAAATATACTACAAAATATAATAATCAAAACAGTATGGTACTGGAACAAAAACAGATACACAAATCAATGGGACAGAATTGAGAGCTCAGAAATAAACCCATACATCTATGGACAGCTAATTTTTGGCAGGGGAGCCAAGAACATACAATGGAGAAAGGAAAGTCTCTTCAATAAATGGTGTTGAGAAAACTGGACAGCCACATGCAAAAGAATGAAAGTAGACTGTTATCTTACACCATACAGAAAAATTAACTCAAAATGGATTAGAGACTCAAACATAAGACCTGAAACCATAAAACTTCTAGAAGAAAACATAGGTAGTCTTAACAGTATCTTTTTTAATACCATGTCTCACCAGGCAAGAGAAACAAAAGAAAAAATAAACAAATGGGACTACATCAAATGAAAAAGCTTCTGCACAGCAAAGGAAACCATCAACAAAACAAAAGACAGCCTAACAATTGAGAGAATATATTTGCAAATCATACATCTGATAAGGGATAAATATCCAAAATATATAAAGAACTCATACATCTCAACAACAAAAAATCAAACAACCCAATTAAAAAATGGGCAAAGGATCTGAACAGACATTTCTCCAAAGAAGATATACAGATGGCCAACAGGCACATGAAAAGATGTTCAACATCACTAATTATTAGGGAAATGCAAATCAAAATTACAATGAGATATCACCATATGCCCATCAGAATGGCTATAATTAACAAGACAAGAAATAACAAGTGTTGGAGAGGATGTGAGGAAAAGGGAACCCTCAGACAATGCTGGTGGGAATGTAAACTGGTGCAGCCACTGTGGAAAACAGTATGGAGATTTCTCAAAAAGTTAAGAATAGAACTGCCATATGATCCAGCTATTCCACTTCTGGATATTTATCCAAAGAACACAAAAACATGCATGTGAAAAGGTATTTGCACCTCTGTGTTCAGTGCAGCATTATTCGCAATAGCCAACACTTGAAAACAACCTAAGTGCCTATCAGTGGATGAGTGGATAAAGAAGATGTGTACATACAAACACACACACACACGCACAAACACACATAATGGAATACTACTCAACCATAAAAAAGATGAAATCTTGCCATTTGTGACAACATGGATAGACCTTAAGGGTATTATGCTAAGTAAAATAAGTCAGATGGAGAAGGTCAGTGTATTATTTCACTCATAAGTGGAAGATACAAACAATGACAACAACAAACAAACACATAGACACAGAGACTATGTTGGTGGTTACCAGAGGGAAAGTGGGGGGGGGAGGAGGGTGAAAGTGGTAATAGGGGACTTGTGTACAGTGATAGATGGCAATTAGTCTTTGGGTGCTGAACGTGATATAACCTACAGAGAAATCAAAATACAATGATGTACACCTGAAATTTATATAATGTAATAAACCAATGTTACCACAATTAAAAAAGAAAAAGAAAAACTCATTTATTTAATTCAATTCATTTCAATCTTAGCCAACTTGACCACGCACAAAACTCTTTTCTCAGGGTTCCTCTTCCACAAACTTTCTATAACTTTCTTTTTTACATTCAGAATTTGTCCCATGGCTTCCCTCCTTCCTAGTACTTTAGGATACTTTCTTAACAAAACAAACAAACAAAAATATCTCCATTCTTTATACCTTCTTTACTGAAAACATGCATCTTACTTTCCTTGTATGTAGAGAAGTTTCCTTTAAACTTTTAGTAGCTTTAACCTCATATATTAATTAGAATTCTTAACCCTTAGAAGCCTTAATTTTTACTGAAAACTAAGAAGTAAGCAATTATGAATTGTCTTTTACTTTAGCATTCTGTGCATTGGCAGACTTATAAACACTTTCTAGAAATGTGCTTTCTCATAGAATATTTTTCAGCGTGGAACAAAACATGTTTATTAATAAACCCAGATATTTTAACTTTCTATAATAAGAAACCAAAAGTAGATAAACCTATGTTTAGTAATTAATGTCTAATACTTTATCTTATTTGGAAATGATCTAGATACTTAATGACTTTCCATCATTTAACTTAACTTAGCAAAAGTCTAAGGTTTCAAATTACCAAAAGGTTTTCAAGTTATTTTGAACTACATATACCATAACAAGTAATTATTGTTAAAAAGTTCACCTAAAAACCTTTTAATCTTTCATCTAATTAGTTTTACTTGTTCCCAATAATTATATTTAGATTACCTACAAAAACTTCATAAGTCATTAGACAAAGTCAGCCATCAGCTTTTTTTGCTGCCAAATTTTGTAACAGAGATAATATAAATTTGTTTGGCTTTTAGTAAACCTAGGTAGAACAAAAGTTTTATATTTAATGCTTATAACTCTAAAGACAACAAACTTAAATTAGCTTTAATACCAAATGTTCTCATAAATCATGTGGTCCTGAAATTCATTTGAGTTAATTTCTATTATATTTAGAAATAATTTATAGAAGTGCTTATTTTAAGACAATTAAATAGAGCTCTTTTAGAAATTATACCATTCAGAGGTAGAAAAATATCACATATATAGCATACATATATATAGACACACATACATAGAGACCGCATAGCTATTGTTTTAAAATTACTGCCGTGAATCAGGTACAGTAATACAAAGCTCACTAGTTATGAAAGAATAATTGAATCCAATTTTTTTTCTGGCAGATGAAATAAATTAAGGTTAACTGCTTAGATGGGTAAAGGTTTTTGTCTACTAATATTTGTGGAGAAGACATTTAAGATGCTAGATTTTGGGCAAAGCTTCTTCTATAGCCATTTTTTTCTTTTTTCCTTTTTTCCTCCTTCAGTCTTAGGAATTGGTGATGGTCTGAATTACAGTTTGCCGTGAGGTTACAAGCTATAGGGGAGGTTTTGGGAATTGGTGAAAGAGAATGGGTGAAATCTGAACTGCCTCTAGAGCTGCATTTCCAGTTTTGCAAAGATTTGTAAGATAAGGACAGTTGCTATCAGTTCCTCAGAAATTGGGTTGTAACTATCATATTTGATCCACCTGTCCAACTACATATCCCCAATTTGCTTCTTTCCCTGTGGGTACATGGTTTTATTTTAATTTAAGGAAGAAGGCCTATAAAAAATTCCTATCAGGCTCTGAATATCAGCTTCCAATTTGGGCAAATTTCTAATCACAAGTTATTAAATCCTTTCAAATATCTTGTCAAGTTTCAGCTGGGACAAACAATAAATATTCCTGGCAGTATTAAACAACTCCATTAATTTTTAATTTTTGTTTCTCCTTGATTGTTTAAGGGAATAATGCAGCAGTTTACCAGAAATCTCTCAGAATCTTGTTAACTCTGGGATGGGCTCCTACAGAGCCCTCCTTCAAAGGTAGATATGGGGGTGTCTGTAAAGCCATTAACTTAACAGAAGTTTGTATAACAGACTTTTCTGTGTAGTCGTTTCTTTTAGGTAGTTTTTATATCCTGATTTTTTATTAGCTTTTTGCAACGAAACTTTCAATAATGTTATTTTGGAATTTTGAAGCCTTTACTTTTAAGTGCACTTCTTAAGTGATCTTATCTAATTGGAACATTCCTTCTAATGGCCAATGTAATTCCCCTGAGGCTGGTGGCAGTTTGGTAGGACCTAGCTACAAATGGAGTTCAACTCACATTTCTGTCCAGCCATATTTGACTGCAAATGGGGTGCAACCCACATTTCTGTCCAACCGTATTTTAGGGCCCCCAACCTGATGGTTACCAAGCCAAGCTCTCAGGACACAAAACAAGCTTAGTAAGATTTTGCTGTTCTTTGTAAGTATTTACAGCTTCTGAGACCATAGTTTTAAGCTGGTGTGCTGGAAGGTGGTGTGCTTGACTCTTTAGAAATTAAAGATTGCATTTAATTTCTCTGGTCCACGGTTCTCAAATCTAGTGCACAAAAAGACAAGTTTTGGAACCTCAAAGGAGCCCCAAAGTGGCCACTGTAATTTTAAATTATCTTTAGTATTATTGGTCCACTGGGACAAAAATTTACAAGAGGAACGACTATAGTTCTTAAATATAAAACCAGCTGGAGTTCCCAAGGGAGGAACTTCTTGAGAAACTTTAGAAAATGAAAGTCTCCTAGTAAAGAAAAGCACGCAAACAAAAATGGCAATAGGAAAATCTCTTAATTTGGTTATAGCTCTCATGGGCCAAGGAAAACTGCTGAGGGAATACCCCCCGACCAAGGCAATGACCGTCATGTGGGCACAAAGACATTAATCTCCTGGGCACTGGCCCACCCGTCCCAAAAACAAGGCACTGACCTCAACCAAAGAGAGGGAGGCCTGAGCCCGAGAGGTCCCATGATTGGAGGAGTCGGCTGTCCGTGGAAGTGGCTGAGCACACAGGGGGGCTCCTGTTGGTACTGAACCCGTTTCCAGGGGACACCCATCCAGGAAGGTGAGATCACTTCAGGTTCTGCTTTCTGACACCATATATCATCCTACAAAAACAGAAACCAGTTTAAGAGACAAAGCGTTTATTGGGGATCAAAGAGTTGCAATTCAGGGAGTACAGATTCAACTAGAAACCCAAATAGTGTCCTGATTACAGGAGAGGGACTTAGGGTTTTTATGGGAAAAAGGGAGGATGAGGTGAGTTGTGTTAAAGAACAGTTCATTCATGCTAGATAAGGTAAGACTAGGTTTGTACTTCATAGATTGGCCTGAAGTTCAGTGATCAGGCAAAAGGCTAGATTTGTACTTCATTAATTGGTTAGCAATCAGGTCATCAGCAAAGTGCAATTTCATCAGTCCTTACAGACAGGATATTCTTGTTCTTACTGGTTTCTTGGAATTTTGGCAGTTTGGTCCACTTTGGAAGATAAAACAAGATGTGCAAGGCAATTCCTCTGGAATGGCAGCTCTGGCTCTATTTTAATATGGCTCCACTCATGTCATCTTTCACAGGGGGAAGGAGACGCTGGTAAGGGGTGGAGATGATTGTCCAGAAAGAGGGAAAGTTAGTCAGTATAAGGGACAACAAAGCTGGGAAAGCAATAAAAAGAGAAAACTGAGTTTGGAAAATCTGAAATGCCAGTCATTTAAATTTCTTTAAAGAAATCTTTGGGAGTTCTATAATTGGTATTATCTTCGTCTAATAGATTTTTATAACATGTTAAGTTTTTTATTTCGGTATTCACTAAAGCAGACACACATAATAATGGCATAAGAAGAAACTACTTCCTCAGGATATAGAAT